GAGATCCTGCAGTTCCTATACCCGTGTCTGTGCTATTCTTACTGCTGCCCATCTAGCCCACCCCATGTAAGCTCACTTTCCTGTCCACCACTGAAATGCAGAACAGCTTGTCCCCATCCCTTTATTGGTTTTGTTGGGGTTTTTTTAATTGTTTGAAGATTTTTACCAGGTGTCTCCTCCCTAGCTTTCCATCTCTCTTTTCCTCTCTTTTCATTTTTCTGCACCACTGGGACATCTTCACCCTTTCTTGGAGGGGTCTCTTGTCCATTTTTCAAGTCTTCCTTGAGGAGCAGTGCTAAAAACCCACAAACACCCCCCGGCTGAGACCATCCTCATGCAGAGGAGAGCAGATGAGCTTGGCCATTTTTTCTAATCCATAAGGAAGAAACTGTGCACACCTCCCCCAGCCCCCTAATTGACTTGCAATGAGTAGCTATTTTCATTTAATTTTCCTTTCCCTGAAATTCATGTTTGTTTGTTTTTAATTTCAGGATGACTACCAAGCTCCTTTCAGCACTGAATTAGCAAAACATAGGATACAGTGGCAGCTAGACTCACCTATTAATCAAATTAATGTGTCTTGGCAAACCATTTCAGAATACTGTGGTGCTGGCTTTTGTGATTTCATAACATATCATGACATTCAATATTTTTGTTAAAGCTCTACTTTCCACGTTCATGTGATAATGGGAGAAACTGAGGTTTCACTTAGGAAGAATTAGCAATAAAGTATCTGGAGCACCTGGCTGTAGAGAGTAATTGGCAAATGGGACCCAAATGCATCCTGAAGTCTCAAAAAACCAGAAGGCAAATAAGCAGCATCTGCAAACAACTGCTGTTGGCTGAGTTTGCTGGAAAGGCATTTGCAAGAAACGTGCTCATCTGGCTGCTCCTGTGGACAGGAGCTGTTGAGCACTGATCCCAAGTTCTCCAAAATGCTGTGATGTTTTCTGGATAGTTCCTTGTGGAAAGTGGGGTGGGGGTGGGAGAAGAGATGCAAACTGAGGCAATTATCACCCACAAAAGCTATAGAGTGGGAAACCTGGACCTCCGATCCTCCCAGGATCAGTCATAACAAAAGTGCCCCTGCTAGAAGGCTTTGGGGTGCTCTGCGTGTTACCTTGACTTCAAATACTCATGTCGGTTTTCCCGGCAATACCCAGTGTCCCGACCAAGGGTGCTGGCCGCGAGGTGCTGGGAGGTCTCAGAACCGCCCAGACTCCAGGGGCACAGATGCACCTGTGATGTTTGGGAACATGAGGCCGCTTCAGAGACCCTGTCTCAGCGCCATCCACCCTGTGCATCAGCCACGTCTAAGTGAGAAAGTGGCTGAAGGAAGACGAGGGTGCAGAGCGAATAGGCACTGGGTGCGTTGGTCATGGAGGGGAATCGGTTCTTACCAATTTTCCACTTCCTGCGATGAGGGCCTGTTTCAGCCAACACTGCCAGAGTGCGTGCTCTTTGGTGGGAGAAGTGAGTGAAAAATACAATTTAATGCTCTTGTTGGGTGCCGTTCCTTCCGAAGGGGCTGTGTGGGGCAGGGGGCGGTGGTGCCAGCACCACGGGCACCTGTGAAGGTGCTGGCTGAAGAGGATACGTAGAGGAGCAGTGAACTGCGCTGGCTGAAACTGGGACTGCCACTTGCAATGGGCTGCCCCTACATAGCCTCTGTCTCCTGAGAAATGACAGTGTTAAAATAGACCGCTAGATTAAAATATGGCAGAAAATACAGTTTTACAGACCTCTCAAATGTGAAAACTTCAAAAATATGCAGGGGCAGTAAGAGAGACACCCGATAAACAACTGGACATAAAGGCAACTGCAAACTACCCACAAACAAAGGAAGCGCTGAGGCTGTCTGTGAGAAGACTTCTCCTGCCATCCTTGTCCTGCTGTGCAAAAGTTTTAAGTTGTGACCAGGAACAGTTTGCAAAGGCTTACCCAAAGCCACCGTCAGAAATAACTCGAACACAGACAGGAAAAAACTGCTTGAGAGTTCTTTTGGGAAGGATTAGGTTTAAAATAATTGCCATTTATAAATTAATTTCACATTCTTCTGGAGCTTGGCCTACTAGCATTTCAAGGCTTGACTGGAGCTGGCAGACAGGGTGGGCACCAATTCCAGGGCCTGACTGCCAAGAAAAAGGAAAATATTAAGAGAAAAAAATTGGCAATGAAAAAAAAAAAAGCCCAGGGAAGTATAGGGAAATGAGATTTAGTTTAGGAAAATTATTGTTCTCTGAGCCATGGACTGACTTTATGGCTGGCATATTAATCACGATCTTACATGAGCCTGGCCTTTGTAATCGATGTCTGAAGAGAAACTGTTGGTGAACACAGATCCCAGTAACTTTAAAATCCATGACTCTGTTATTTTTAATCTTTTTTTTTTTTTTAAATTCATATCAAAGTCTATTGAAAGCAGTGGGGAGACTCCTCTCAGCTTCCACAACTTTGAATCAAGCTGTGTAAAAATAGATGCCACATGCCTCAAGACTTCTGCTGCAGTCTTGTCAGCTGAGTCCAGCAGCAGAGTCAGACCGTGACTCTTCCGTTTCTTTTACCCAGCATTTTAGGATCGTGAGTTATCAGGGCCCAGCCGAGGACCCTGTGACACCTCTCAGTCCTTTTGCCTGATGCCAGATTAGACCTGAGATCTCTGGGCTTGCTCCTGCCATTCTCTAAGGTGCTGAGCACAAGCATCCCCTCTGCATTTCCCTGGGCTGGTTTGGTAGCAGAGATGCTCTACTGCCCAGGAGGCATTTTGCACAGAGCCGTATGGTAGACGAACGGCTCATTTCCAAAAGGAAGATGTGTGTGGTGAAAACAAAAAAGCCCAGGACACAGCCCAGGGGAGAGGAGTGAACCCAGTGTGGAGCCCCGTTGCAAGGGCTGCTCTTCCTTTCAATGCAAATCAAGTCATTGCTAAACCAGAGAGCACCGAATCAGAGGCCAGCCTGAGTCACAGAGCAGCTGCAAAGACCTCTCCGCAGACCCATGGCTTGCAGATCATCTCTGCTGGGGCATGGGCGGACCAGGCCAGTTCTTCATCTTAGCGCTTTTTGGGCATTTTGCGGTGTGCCTTTTTAGTTACGACTGCATGAACAAGGCTGCCCTCCAGCTCTGAGAGGATGCTGGCAGCGGCGGGCAGCACCTCACCACTGGCCCTGGCGAGAGCGACGATGAAGCGGGAGTTCCTCCTGCCCGGCACAGGGTGGCCAGCATCTGGCACTACGCTGGGGGGGGACTCTCTGGAGGGGAAGGGCCCCAGGGCTCACACAGAGCTATCGGCTAAAATCATAGACCGAGAGATTGGAGATGCAGACAGATTGAAGAAAAACTGTTGAAAACAGATTGTTAGTCAGCTTTATGGATCTCAGCGAAGGACATGTTTTTCTTACTGGAAGAGAGCCATGGTGTAGAAATAGACTGAAATCAAGAAGGAGGGCTGCAGCCGTAGCTTGGGCTGTATATTTAAACATTTTTGCTGTCAGACCATCTGGGCCTGGAGCTAAATTTACCTACAAATCATTTCCAATGTTTCTGCTTCTTGAGAGGTGAAAGGTGCACTTGACACTTTATGCCAGGAGGAAAAGCAAAATGTCCCGGGTCAGATTTTCCCAGTGTCAGACCTGCGTGTGGTTTCGGATGCCTAATCTGTCTGCAACACCTGACTTAAAGCCCAGGCTGGGTGCTCTGCGCACACAGAGCCCCTCCACAGCCAGCACTAAATCTT